TACAGATCTTCTTTATGCACCAAGAGCTTGTAACACTCCAAAGCGTCACCAACATTTGATATGACACATATATCAAACGCCAAAATCACAAGGACAAACAAAGAGAACTGCAAAGCAACAAAGCATTCGTTAACAGCAATCAGTCTCTCAGACTGGTCTCTCACAAGAGAAAACCGTCCTCCCACAGCGAGCCCTCTCTCAACCCAGACTCCCCGCCATTGAAGCTAGAACAGCTGTTAAACTACGCGCTGAACAGCGATTGGCGGCGCGATCCCATACGTCAGCGTCTTACGTCAGCAGACTAACAAGCAGATCCTCCAATCAGATTTCACACCTGAAAAAAAACGGAGTACACACAAAAATACACACATGCAATAACATATGCAGAAACGAACTTACGTAGCACAGCGTACGTAACAATGCCACACAATTAAACATTCACATAATTATCTAACATAATTCTCATATAATTCAAATTAAAAAAATATTTGATTGCAGTTTGTTTTTAGTAATAATTCAGACAAACTTCTCCTAAATGTTTGTAGGAAATTACTGCTTTCCTAGCAGCATGACTCATGCAGTTTTCTCTTTTCAGATTTAAGAGAAGTTTCAGATGAAGTGAGGATTGTCCTGTGGGGAAAAACTGGAGTTGGGAAGAGTGCAACTGGAAACACCATCTTAGGGAGAGAAGCATTTAAAGAAGATGTGTCACAAGAGTCAGTTACTAGAGAATGTCAGAGAGAGATGGCTGAGATCGATGGCAGACAAATTACTGTGATAGACAATCCAGGACTGTTTGATACTAAACTCAGTCAGGAAGAGATCCAGAGAGAAATCACCAACTGCATCTCAATGATTCTGCCAGGACCACATGTGTTTCTCTTACTGATACCAGTGAGCCGTTTCACTCAGGAGGAGGAAAACACTGTGAAGATCATTCAACAGACTTTTGGTGAAAACTCAATAATGTACACCATGGTGCTCTTCACCAGAGGAGATGATCTGAAGAAGAAGACCATTGAAGAGTATCTGGGAAATCCTGAATCTGCAATGATGAAGCTCATTGAACAGTGTGGAAATAGATACCATGTGTTCAATAATAATAAGACTGAAGACCGTATGCAGGTGTCTGAACTACTGCAGAAAATCAGTGACATGGTGGCAGCAAATGGAGGGAGTTACTACACATGTAAGATGTTCAGACAGATGGAAAGAGAAAAACAAGAAGCACAAATGAAGAAGATAGTGGACAAAGTGGAGGAACTGAAGAGAGAGAGAGAAGAACTCCTGGCAAAACATGAAGAAGAGAAAGTGAAAATGAGAATGAAGATGGAGGAAGAAAGACAGAATCATTTTGCTGAGAAGAAGAGAAGAGAAGAAGAATTGGAGACAAAAAGGGGGAAAGAACTAAATATGTGGGATAAGACTTATCAGAGACTTAAAGAAGAAAGAGATGAACTCAAAAGAGAAAAGGAGAAAATAGAAAGAGAAAAAGAAGCCTTTCAGATTAAACATGAAACAGAAACAGAAAAGATGAAGAAGATGATAGAGATAGAAAAACAGAATCATGACACAGAGAAGAAGAGGAAAGAAGAAGAATTCAGAAAGACTGAAGAACAATACAAAACAGACATGAAAAGAGAACAAGAGAAATTGGAGACACGAACACAGATGCAAAATAATGATAGGAGAAAGATGGAGGAAGAAAAACAGAACTGGAACAGACAACAAGAGAATCTCACAAAAGAAATCCAGAATGAGAAATATCTGAGACAAGAACAACATAAGATTCATGAAGTCAAAATTCAGTTCTTAGAACAGAAGCAGCAAGACAAAATGTATGAAGTATGAAGAAGACAGAACAAAAGACATGAAGAACATGAAATTGTGCTGCTCACAAACAGACTCTTCTCTTCAGGTAAGTGATCAGTAAAATCATTACAAGGGTCATTGGCTTTTGGAGGTTCAGGGACATCTTCACACACAAATTTAGTTTGATCCTTATATGTACAATTGTTATCTAGGAAAACCCACCACATGGAGAAATTTTACCACATGGAGAAATTGTACCTTTTTTAGACGATACCAGCCCTTTCCAAAACTGTTTTTATTTTGTCCATAGCTTGAACATAACAAAAGTTATTGCAATCTGAATTTGGCTGATAGCTATAATGTTCAGGAATGAAATTGTGAGAAAAAAGGGTTTAAGGTGAGGCAATGAAAATAGAAACACAACAGTCAAGTCTCACAAGTAAAAGTCACTTTACTGTGGTAAGAAACTTAGGCCCTGTCCACACAGAGATGCGTTTAGCTGTATAAGCATACATTTTGTATTAAAATTTGTGGTGGGGGGGTGTTAAAGAATTGTGCTATAATAACTCTTATGATAGCGCTCTTATGAACATTTTTAGCATGACTTCGTGAAAATGTAACTACTAGAATGAATGACATAGCATAGACTTCTTCATGGCATATTACAATATATAATAGCTATAATTCATAATTTTTTGCGCTTGCCTTACCGAATGTCGTATCCTGTCAGCAATAACCTGTCCATGGGCTTTTTTGATTATTTTTTGATTATGATGTTGCTAAAAAGAACATTATTTTGTGTATTTGGTG